TCAAAGTTGGGCACTTGTCCCTGTCCTCGTCTTCTCGTCCAAATCGTGTGTACTTAAGCTGTAAAATTTGAGAAAGTACAATATTGAAAAGAAGAGGAGTTTTAACCGAGAAAAAGGAATATTCCTGATTTTTAATATTAGGCATTGCCTTATTACAGTAGCATCTGAGCAATTTCATTCAGGAGATCTATCCCAACAAAATTCTTTCCAAAATCCTTTTTTCTAAATTTTTCCCTTTCAGATTCGCCCGCAGTACCACCATCGGCCGCTGCCCATGAGCTTTTCCGTGGATTTTCTTTCGTTTCCCCGGCAGTGGTGGAAGACAAAAAAGACGAGAAAAAAATTCGAACTATCCCAACAGCAAAAACTCATCCAATTACTGATGACTACATCCTTAAAGAGGTAAGTGCCTATCCATATAATGGCAGTTGTCCATGTCACCATCAAATGACAAAAGAAATTATTTGGCAGTAAGATCAGGGACAAGTAACAGTTGTCGCTTTCCGTGTTATCCGTAGAAATCGTGCGTGCTTGCTCGTGCGAAGTGATTTGTGATCATCTTTATTGCCACCTCACGAAGGCTTGGTCTTTCAACGTTGAGAGAAGTATAAGGGACGATGGAAATTTTCGAGAATATTCTTATTTTTGCTGAGAAAGCCATAAGTAGAAATAGGCATCAAGACCAAGGACTATAAATAGAATTGTATCTTAGGCTTAATTCAAAATTTCTTGACATTTTTTTACTTCAGTGAGGGATCCAGAACTGTGAGGATTTGTGTTCAGTAAAAGTTTTTGAAAAATCCAGAATTTTTATCTAACACTAATTTTTCCAAGGAATTTTCTCGAAGACTACCAGTTTATGAGCCATATTCACTATAGTTGTTATATTGTGAATTCACCTCTTTCAATCTACTTGGGGCCAAAATTTTCTCATCACTTGCTCTTGTATTTAAACAGAATTTTTCCATAAAATTTCACAATCTCACCAGGAAATGTAATATTTCTGACTTGACAAACATCGTTGAATTTTATTTGACAATTTCCCCCGTTCTTCCCATTTGCTCGCATTCCAATCTCTTCCGGGCAGCTGATCCAAGCCTCGAATGCGATGTGTACGAATATAAAGCATTACATCCGGCTTGTTCAATGATCAAACATCGCTATAGGAGGCTTGGGATTATTAGGATGGGAAGGCTGCCCTCCAGAACCCTCTTTTGAAGCGATAACGTCACTATCTTTCCTCCCCCGCATTGTTTTTAGTTATGCAAATTGCTCGGAAATGTCGCTACGCTTCCCTAATTTCTTCCTAGAAGTCATCCCTTATGCAT